AACGCCTCTCTAGCAGCTCTACAGTAGTAAGCGCCTCTAGGAATTTTCGACGCGGCCGGGGGCGTGCCAATAAAGGGATCGTGCACGAGCCATGTGACTTTTTGGGGCGGGGGGTGGGGGCCCACTAAAGGTTCAGGGCGGTCAGTGAAGTCTATAGAGGCCCCATGATATTTTTACCCTGATACCTGTGGACGAGGGGGAGGTAGGCCTAACTTCTAGTATTCACGGTTCACGAGGGAAATAATACCTTCAGTATTAGGGCGATATTCAGTGGTTATTCAGTGATATTCTCTATCAGAATATATTCACAGTGCACGAAATTTCGGATTTGGTGCCCCCTCGCCTATGGACTCCAATGACCATCCTGAACCTTTTGGCACCCCATACTGTTTGAAGCTTCCCTACAGTCACGCGGTTATGCGCGATCCCTAAGAAAGCTGAACATACCTACAAGACTACTTGGGCGCCCGCTGGGCTAACTACACTAGACGTCGTGCAACCGAGTGCTCTGAACAACATACGGAGTGCGATACACGACGGTGGTGCTACGCTACGCTGCTTTTCGATCGTGGTGACAAAACTACGGCCTCGTCGCGACTCCTACTCGAGTCGTGTTGTTGTGTCTGGAGGACGGCGACGACGCGGGCGTACCTTTGTCCGCGGAGGCGGTGACGTCGGCGGCGTAGCGCCGGGCGACCGCCGGGGTCCTCATGGCGTCGGTCGCGTCGGCGGCCAGGAGCCGCCAGGCCCGGCTCGGGCTGGAGGACGAAACGCGCCGATGGGCGCGGAACGGTTACAACCCTCTGGAGAGACTCGGCGCCGAGGAGGCTCGTGCGGCGCGCCGCTGGAGGGCGGAGCAGGGGCGGAGCAGGGGCGGAGCAGGGGCGGAGCAGGGGCGCGCTGCTCTGGCGGGTGGGGCTGTCGAGCACCCACTGAGGGCGCCGCTGCCGCCGGGCCTGAGGCCGGGCCGGGCCCTCCAGGACGCAACAGCCAGGCTAGCCCCACGCCGCGAGCCCCCCTCCTCGACGACGCCGACCTCAGGAGGCGATCGCAAACGTACAACCCCCTTTTACCGCACCTCTGAGCTCGCTCCACGCGGACTGGGCCGACCACTTCTTGGTGGCGGTGGCGCACCCCCGGGGTCAGTGTGGGAGCGGGGGGTCACGGCTGTACCTGTCCCGCAGGGGGACCCCACAACAGCCGCCCACACGAAGGGGAATAACTCAGAGGCATTGTTTCCGGGGGACCCGAGGGGGGGG